GGGGTCCCTGTCCTTTGAAGTAGTCAGGACAGAGAGAAAAAGGAACCCCTGATGTATCGGGGTCCCTGTCCTTTGAAGTAGTCAGGACAGAGAATAGAGAATAGAAAATAGTTAGTGAAACCATGGTGTAAAATTTAAAGTAATTATAAAAAGGGAAACGTTAAACACTAGTGCCTTTTGTTACAAGTGTTGAAAGTGATCATTTCTAGACTTGGATGACAAAAGTTTAAAGAACAACATCAGTTATATTTGCTTAAAAAAGTAATCTTGAAAGTTCTTCTTCTTTCTGTTTTGGCATTTTTGCTAAAACACTACTTTCTGCCTGTGTGTGCCGCACTATCTTGCTGCCGTTGTCAGGGAAACGGCCCCCTCCTTTGCTGCTCTGGCTCTGAATCAGAGCTACTGCTTTTAGGATTTTGGCTTTTATTAAGTTTTTAAATTTGCTAAATTTGCAATTGAACATTGTGTTAGACACAGTTAAACGTTTTTAAACACCATTAGTGAATAAGTTTTGAATATTATATGTTTTTTGAAACCCAAATATTAGTGCTAAAAGCTGTGCAATTCTTTTTAGACCTGACATATTTCTAGATTCCATTCTTTTAAATCTGCTGCTTATTTTGTGAGTCCATTATTGTATCTCTGATATATTTCATAGCTGTTTGTGAGAATTTTTTTATGTTTTTATTTTAGTTACAAAAGCCGTTTTTCAAACATTTAAATTAGAATCTGTGTTAAAAGTGATTATTGATTATAGACTTCGTCTAAAAAGAAAGAGGGAATTAGCATTAGCTGTAAAAGTATTATATTATTAAGTTAAACTACCCAATTCACCCATTGCAAGCGGTGACGTTTTTGTTTTGACTACACGCGTGACCTTGCTGCTGCTCAGAGACAGGAGGAGGCAGCTCCGACGCACAATTGAGTTTTATTTATTGAACCGAATCCAGTTTAGCTGGAGCTAAATCTTTTGTTTGATTTCAAGTTTTGTTTTAAATGTTTTTACAAATTAATGTTCATTTTTATAGAGATTTTTCATAATTTCATTTCATGGCGTCTTTCAAGAAACCCAAGGACGCATAGATAATTAAACACACAGTACAAAAGTACATAATACATATTTTAAAGTTTAAAGGTTTTTTGAGATTTGAGTCTTGTTTTTTATATTAAGAGTTTCTGGTTTTAAAAGTTTCACATTAGTAAGATAATAAGTAATCTTTATTTACATAGCGCATGTGGGAAAGCCGAGAGCACTCCAAAATGGTTTAGACTTCAGAGAGAAAAACAATCTCATTCACATATCTGTTGTTTTTAAATTGGCCGTCTCAAGGATTGTTTTCCAGACTCTGCCACACTGTACGAGAGGTCACTGCTGGAGTGGACACAGAGGGATCAGAACAGTGGCCCAGAGTAGACACCATCCAACTAGCCGCAGATCGTAAAGGCGACATAGCTACCTTCGTGTGCCCCTCCCCCACTACAGACCGATGGTCGTAGGTGGCAGTGAGACCGGGGCCACAAAGTGAGGTTTTCTGTAGGCAGTGGTGGGTGAGTTGTTTTGCAATCTGGAAGTGTGCCCACTTTGCTTGTTTACATCACCACAGTGTGACCTTTGAGACCTACAGGTGGTTCGAGGAGTCTGGAGACACAACCCCAAAATTTACATACACACACACACACACACATACATCTACACACTCACACATTCACATTTACATATAGATACATGAAAAAGTAGAACATGAGGAAAAAGCATTTTAAAAGTTTACTCCAATGTAAACACATATTTTTTATTGTCTATCACTTGAATCAGTATTTTTTGAGACCAGAAATGTTCATTTGAATTCTATATTGTCATGGACATAATTGACCTCTGTCCTGACACTTTTGATTTGTTGATTTTGTACTGTGTGAAGTAATTACATTGATGAGGATTAGATCTGATAAAAACACAAATTAGAGAAGTAAAATGAATAATTGCGCTTGCTTTTGTCTGAGGGACATTAGCAACAGCATGAATAGAAATTGTGTTAAAGTAGAATCAAAATGACTTAACCATAGAGAGTAACTATTGCATTACAAGCTGTGTACAGGAACTGTGACACTGCACCATTGACCAGAAGTGCATCGCAAATGACCTGATGTGCTTCAAGTGAAAAGACTGTATCTGGAGATCCTGATGTGCATCTGGAGAGACCAAACCATGGCTTGGACCCTACTGATGTCCAAGATGACATCTCGAAATATGACCTGACCTGATGACGACTGAGACCTAACCTCACCCTCAGAGGACCCTGAGGACCTGAGGATCTGAGAGAGAAAAACTGGGGAGTGATGTTTATATTATTGAAATCATACATTGATGAGTGCTAAATGAGAGAGATACTCATGGTTCTTTCTTTTGTTTTTGTTTGTCCCTAGCTTCTGGACATCTGATGATCTATTGGACACAGCCATTTGCAGAACAAGAACCAGCCAATGAAAAACGTCTATTGCCGATGCTATTGCTACAACCAGAAACTGTGACAAATGCAATATACATGTTAAGTATTCAGACATCTGACAGACAAAAACTTTGAAAATGATAAAGTATGAGTATTGTAGCGTTTTAGAGATGTTAAATAGTAGTAAAAAAGTAGAATTGTCCTTCCTTTGTTGTTCATAAACACATTTCCACATAAGAGTTAAAATAGTACTCTACAATGTTATCCTTCTGATAGAGCGGAAAAAATATTAGAATCAGAGTTTTTTTTTTTTACAGCCATTAAAAGTGACAGAAGTCGCAGATTAGAAATATGCCTGGCTCAAGCTTCAGCCGAGCTTTTGAGTTAAAAAATAGAGTAAAAATAGGAATAGATAAATGCATCAACCATAGATGCTTTCAAAAATAGAGATTAGAGAATCAAACACCATTGTGGAATAACTGACCCCAAACCTGCTAAAATAGATTAGCTCTTGTAAGGATAATACCAATTTGATTAATGATGTACATTCATCCCAAAATGCCTGAGAGGAGGAAGTGACAGCACTTCCTGGTTCAACAAATATTTGGAAAACTGACCGCCATAATAATGTTCATATTAACCATTTGTCTTTCTGTGTTCACAGTTTTATTCCTGAGAATGAGAGTAGACATAGAGCAAAATCCCACTGATAATAAGCCACTGATAATTAGAGCATAATACCACAGAGAGATTTATTAGATTAAAATGTATGTTTAAGAATATGGCTCAAAGCAAATATGCAAACATATTTGTAAATAGATTAGAATAGTTTTAAACTATAGTGAATAGTGAAAGTAAAGTACACAGTCTAAGATTGAAAAGTGAAAATAATAAAGTGAAATAAGTGAAGTGTAAACAATTAGCATTAGAATAAAAGTATAGAGTAAGAAAAGTGAAATTAGCTTCTAATTTGAGACTCAGCTCGTTTTTGTCTGTGTTTTGACTGAATCTGCTGAGTTCTACTGTGTCCAATAGTGTTTTTGTTTGTTTTTATTTTTGATTTATTTTTGTTTGTTTATTTTTTCCCAGGATAGAGGATAAAATCCACTGATATTGATTTGATGATTATGAGTTTAATGCATACATTTTCTTTGTTTTTAATAATTTTGTAAAGTTTTTTTTTTTAAGATTTTTTTTTTTTCTTTTCTCACTTTATTGATTGATCAATTTGAGTGATCACATGTGATTATGTGATCAAAGGGGAGGGTGTTAGTATTAGATAGCAATATGGCCTAAGTGCAGGACTGTACAAGGACTCTACAAGGACTCCATGTTATGACTATGATGTGACTGTCTCTTTGTGACACGTATGTCTTTCGATGTGTGACGTGACAATGACTATATAAACTGTGTACTGCCTTTATTCTGTCTGAGAGAAAGAAACAGAGTAAACCAGTGGACTTGAGAGAAACTTAAATAAACTTCCAGAGTTTGGCACACCACGATCCGTCTCTGTCTGCTAAATCCTGACACATGCATGCAAAAGCCAGATCCCATCATAAATCTGAAGCTTTGCAGGACGGGCCCTGGTTAGTAGTGTGTTGTGCAGGTGTGGGGCAGCTGCGGCCGTACAGTGCCAAACTGTTGTTGTTCCTTCACCCACATTCACCCACATTGGCTAGAATGAGTCTGGTGTGTGTGTGAATGGTTGGTGGTGGTTGAAGGGGCCGATGGCACATACTGGTTGCCTCACTTCTGTCAGTGTGCCCAGGGCAGCTGTGGCTACAGTCGTAGTTTATCACCACCGTGTATGGAGTGAAAGAATAATGACATGTGGAGCGTCTTTGAGTGTCCAAAAAAGCACTGTATAAAACCAATGCATTATTTTTATTATTATTATTATTATTATTATTATTATTATTATTATTATTATTATTAGAGATGGGCTGTTATAGCCTGGCTTTAGCCATCCGTACACCCAGGTCAATAATCATTTTAATGTGATTTGTACTATGGTGTGGTACGGCCAGGCTAGAGCTGTTATAGTCCCTCATCATCTCGGACATGGGATTTCTCACCATCATTGCGCCTTCTGAAGATATTGGCCAACTCAAAGCCACGATAGAAAACAGAAGCAAGAGCACAACAATCTAAAAAATGGTTTTGAGTTTTCAGATTAAAGTGATTTACCCAAATGAACATGTCCAAACTGTGTTTCTGATTAATATAAGGTCATTCTAAAACAAGGGTCACAACAAAAGGGCTGTGTCCAAAACGGTAGGCATCGGGCCGCGTAGGGTGGATATGTAGGCATCGTGACGTCACTTCCTCAAGCGACGGCTATTGCAGGGGTGTCCAAAACCACTTGGCGAGCTCGCCAAGCGTAGGCATCATGACTTCGTCTCTATGGAAACGGCCACTTTTGGAGCAGATATGAAGGATGCATCTGATGTATGCTTCGCTGCCTTCTTTTTGCCAAGTCACGGCCGCGCATGCGCAGAACTCCGTTCGGCATTAACATGTAAACAACAGCTCGGATCTGCTGGAGCTAACATTATGGTAAGTACTGCTATAATTTACTGTGAAGTTATGTCTATAGTAAGTACTGCTATACTTTACTGTGAAGTTATGTCTGTAGTAAGTACTGCTATACTTTACTGTTGAGTTATGAACACGACTGTTATGATAAAACACAGACATAAATTAGATCTGCCACAGATGTGTGTATTTAACCTTGTTATCTGCTGTAAATAAGCTCAGTCCCGAAAAGCTAATGCTACGAGGCTAGTTCATTCAGATTCGGTTTTTGAACAAGAAAAATCATGTTGTGTTTTATCTTTTAGGGAGAAACAAACCCACTGATTAAATATTAAAGCTACACTGAGGAAAGTCACGTTTTCATGGAAAATCACTCTGCAGCACAGCAGCTATAGTATGCTAACACATGTTTTCTGTATTCATATAAAATATATTGTGCATATCGTTTTTAATCCCATACTGAGACTGGGAAAACTGTATATATTAGACATATGAAATGATAGAATAGGCCAAGAATAATTATAAAGCCCTTTTCATACAATAGTCTAATAAATAGTAAACACACATTATACAGAGGTTTCGTTTGTCATGAATAAGACATTTGCAGAGGACAAGGTCCCACTTCCACAAACACAGGTTTAAAGTGGTTAGCCATGCTCATAACTTGATTATTTGTGTATATTTCTATCATATCATTCTTCTGTTTCCCCTGCTGTGAAGCTTGTACCTCTAATATTAAATACTGTAAGGATTTCTGTATTTTATTTTTAACCAGTTTTTTGCAAAGCCCCAAATAAATAGTATTGATTGAATATGAAGTGTAAAAAGAATCCTAAATGTGGGCTGTGTTTTAATGCATGATGTTTGTGTTCTTCTTTTTCAGAGACTTGTGGTGAAATTAAGGTCATAATTTCTCCAGCTTCACGTCCTGCTTCACCTCCATCACCTCCTGCTTCACCTCCATCACCTCCTGCTTCACCTCCATCACCTCCTGCTTCACCTCCATCACCTCCTGCTTCACTGCTGAAAACATGAACTACAACAAACTTGTATATAATATTTTCCTTTAATCAGCAGTCATGAATAGTTAGAACAGTGGGCTCTGTATCTCTGAAGACATGTAGCAGAAGGAGCAGCAGCAGAAGGAGCAACAGGAGGAGTAACAGCAGCAGCAGAAGGAGCAACAGGAGGAGTAACAGCAGCAGGAGCAGCAGCAGCAGCAGGAGCAACAGCAGCAGGAGCAACAGCAGCAGGAGCAACAGCAGCAGCAGCAGGAGCAACAGCAGCAGGAGCAACAGCAGCAGGAGCAACAGCAGCAGGAGCAACAGCAGCAGGAGCAACAGCAGCAGGAGCAACAGCAGCAGGAGCAACAGCAGCAGGAGCAACAGCAGCAGGAGCAACAGCAGCAGGAGCAACAGCAGCAGGAGCAACAGCAGCAGCAGCAGCAGCAGCAGGAGCAGCAGCAGCAGCAGCAGCAGCAGCAGCAGCAGGAGCAGCAGCAGCAGGAGCAACAGCAGCAGGAGCAACAGCAGCAGGAGCAGCAGCAGGAGCAGCAGCAGCAGGAGCAACAGCAGCAGGAGCAACAGCAGCAGGAGCAACAGCAGCAGGAGCAGCAGCAGCAGGAGCAACAGCAGCAGGAGCAACAGCAGCAGGAGCAACAGCAGCAGGAGCAACAGCAGCAGGAGCAGCAGCAGCAGGAGCAACAGCAGCAGGAGCAACAGCAGCAGGAGCAACAGCAGCAGGAGCAACAGCAGCAGGAGCAGCAGCAGCAGGAGCAACAGCAGCAGGAGCAACAGCAGCAGGAGCAGCAGCAGCAGGAGCAACAGCAGCAGGAGCAACAGCAGCAGGAGCAACAGCAGCAGGAGCAACAGCAGCAGGAGCAGCAGCAGGAGCAGCAGCAGAGTCCTGGGCGTCTGCCTCTGACACAGGTCTCATCGACAGCACTTCACAGATAACCTGGAAATAAAGAAAACAAAAATTGTTGGTTTTATTATGATTTTGTTGTTTGTGTGAAATGTAAAGAGTCATCAAAGTGAGGTATTATTTACACAACTACATATTTGTCAGCAGTACTTATACTTATACTTATAATTGAATACATTAAACTCAAATGTGATTAGTAACGGTCTGTTAGCTTTTCAAGAGATATAAAAGTGAATAAGAGCAGTGTCAAACATCTGTGTTCAACTCCATTTTACAGATGTCTGTTAATGTTTCCATGGATGTGTCAGTTATTATTAAGAATGTCTCGGACTCTCGGATTATAAATACAGGAGCCCCACAGGGCTGTGTTCTTTCTCCCCTGCTCTTCTCCCTGTACACCAACCACTGCACCTCCAGCCACGACTCCGTGAAGCTGATCAAGTTCGCGGACGACACCACCCTCATTGGACTCATCTCCAACAACGATGAGTCCGCCTACAGGAGGGAGGTGGACCGGCTGGTGTCCTGGTGCAGTGGTAACAACCTGGAGCTAAACGCCCAGAAGACAGTGGAGATGACTGTGGACTTCAGGAAGAGCACTGTCCCCCCACCCCCACCCTCCGTGATGGACTCCCCCATCACCTCTGTGGAATCCTTCCGTTTCCTGGGCACCACCATCACCCAGGACCTCAAGTGGGAGCCGACCATCAGCTCCCTCATCAAGAAGGCCCAGCAGAGGATGTACTTCCTGCGGCAGCTCAGGAAAGCCAAGCTGCAGTTCTACACGGCCATCATCGAGTCCATCATCACCTCCTCCGTCACCGTGTGGTTCGCTGGAGCCACAGTCAGGGACAAACAGAGACTACAGTGCATTGTGCGCTCTGCAGAGGAAGTGATCGGCCGCAGCCTTCCATCGCTGCAGGACCTGTACGTCGCCCGAGCTCGAGGCCGGGCTGGTCGTATACAGCCGACCCCTCTCACCCTGCACATGGACTATTCCAACCACTCCCCTCAGGCAGGAGGCTGCGGTCCATCAGGACTAGAACCTCCCGCCACAAGAACAGTTTCTTCCCCTCTGCTGTTGGACTCTTGAACACTTCTTAACCTGTCCCCCCGCCCTTTATAAAGTCACTTTACTGCCCATCATACGTCACTTTACTTCACTGTACTGCTGTCACCTTACATTGTGTGCACCATGTGCACTTGTATATTGTAAATAGTAACTGTAACTCTATTTTAAATTTAAATTTATTCTTTAGAAGTGTTTTTTATTCTTATTTTTATTATCTCTTTTTGACTGTTGCACTGAGCCAAAGCAATTTCCAAGTCTGTGACCTCCTGTTACTTACGTGGCAATAAAAATGATTCTGATTCTGATTCTGATTATAGATCCATGGATGTGTCAGTTATTATTATAGATCCATGGATGTGTCAGTTATTATTATAGATCCATGGATGTGTCAGTTATTATTATAGATCCATGGATGTGTCAGTTATTATTATAGATCCATGGATGTGTCAGTTATTATTATAGATCCATGGATGTGTCAGTTATTATTATAGATAAATGGATGTTTCTCTCTCATCAGCAAACACACGTTAATACATTTAGGTCTGATAAAATTACTTTTAAGTGATGCACAAACGAAGGCCATAGCAAATATATAATCCATATCTAATAATCATTTATTGCATATATGTGCATTGTTTACATAAAATATAACTTTGTAAAAACTAATGATTACTGCCAATACAATTGTTATAACAGAGAAAGTGTAACAACAAAAGCATCCTCTGTTTTTTCAGAATACGATTGTAAACATCCAGGGGCCTCTCATTACCTGAACCCGTGTTTAGACAGCCTGTTCTGGGCTTCAGCACTGCAGCTAACTGGGCTGTTAGCTTATAGCACCGGAGCTTCAGGCTGGAGGTAAAGTCCGAAAATTTTCGAATTTATCTCCAAACAGACTTCTGATATGACAATAAAGGGGGATATTTCTCGCCTCAAATGATATTAGAATTAACTTTTATGTCCTAATTAAAGCGTATTTAGAACTTTTTACCGTCCATCATGGCCGCCGTGTCCTCCCGCTCCGCTCTGAGTTGTGTAGTCACGTGACGAAGGCAGAAGGCAGCTGCTGTCCAAATCCACCTCACGTCTCGCCTCCTACCTCGCCTGTGGCTACGCGGCCTTCCCTCGATGCCTACATATCCACCCTACGCGGCCCGATGCCTACCGTTTTGGACACAGTCTGAGTCCATGGGCGCATTTTCTAAAAATAGCAATGGTCACAGAAGAGCAGGGGTCTCCAGCGATTCTGCTTGTTCTCCTTTCCTCCTCACAACAACACACAGTGGCTGTGTTTTTGTGACAGAGGTGAGTCTACACTTCGTGCAATTTTTGAGCGTCAATATTCAGGAAACAACCCGCAGTGACTCAATTTCAAGAATGAGGCTTAAAACCTAAAAAGCCTAATTATGTTCACATGTTTCATTTGATGTTTGAAAACAACCAACTAAAGCCTGGTTCACACGGCAGGATATTTAGGCCGATTTACCCCTTACAACAATCTTAAGAAACGCTCAGATTTCCGTAACAAAATCTTACAGATTATCCTGCCGTGTGTGGTGTGTTAAGACTGCACTCGTCGCTCGGAAGGACATCGGGACTGCTCCCGATCTCAAATCGGGGATATCCAACATGTTGGATTGTTTTGGCCCGATTTCTCTTCGTGTGTGGTGTCCCCCGAGGACAGACGTGCGCGTTGCCATGACTGCGGCGTGTAGCCAATCAGAAGACGAGACGAGGCGGTGAGGAAACGCCTCCATATCACGATGTAGCAAGTATAGTCCATGCTCGTGTTGTCTACACTTCTTTGACCATCGCCTTTTCTTTTGATTACGTCTTTTCTCCGATAAAAACAAACTATCGCCAATGCATCCTCTTCGTCCGCCATGTGTGTTTACTCTGAAGTCACGCTTGATCTCGCGAGACCTGAGATATCCGTCTGATCTGTGAATACTCGCGAACCACATTCGGTTCGTGTGTGGTTTGCGTGATTTTTGCCGTGTGGCTGCGCACCACACACTGTACAACCAAAGTGGTTAGACCCGTGATTTTTTATCTCCCTGTGTGGGGTCTCACACAGAGAAAAATCGGCCGACAATTTTAAGATCGTCTCGTGTGAACCAGGCTTAAGATACAGTATGTGTGATTAGGTCTGAACCAGGCCTGAGCCAGGTCTAAGCCAGGTCTGAGCCAGGTCTGAGCGGTCTGTGGTGGCCTAAATGTGGTGGTGCTGGTTTAGCAGTAATTTTGTGCTGCACTAAACTGAGACAAAAGTACAACAACATGATTGGGCCCAGCGCCTGGACGCTCAAAAAAACAGGAAAAATAACATACTCAATCTAATAATATTATTATATCTGTAGTCAAAGTCATACTGACTACAGATTGAATCATTTCAATTCAATTAAATTCCATTCACTTCAATTAGAGCCCTTTTACAACAGCATTCATGGAGGACTTTACAAAACGGTCAATTTGCCAACAACTGATTTGAGAATCAAACAACACAAGAAATGCAATAATAAGAAGCATAGAGGAGCCCCTGGTTCAGAAGGTTACACAGCGGGTTGACAATGTCTGTAAATATTTAACAACGATCACACATGTCCAAATATGTCCATAAATATAATACCAGCTTATGATACTTGCTAATGAAAATCCTCTGCCATGATTAAAAAAATAATTTAGGGGCTAATTCATTACCTTTGCGTGCTTTTTCATTGCAATTCAATCCAGCTCTGGAGCCATATGTTAATACTGGAAGCCCTTATCAAGGTTGGTCTTTTGTATTGTATTTGTATTTACTGTATGTGTTTATTTGGACAGGACAGTGCACTCATGAACAGCAGGAACTTTAAAAACACAGATTGTAACTTTGTAGCTCATTAACGTCTCTCGACCCACAGTCACATATTGTACATGTTTTTACTGGTATAGGGGAAACCAGAGCACCCTGAGCAAACCTACACAGACAAGAGGAGAACATTCAGACTCCACACGAAAAGGTCCTGTAGGTGGAATTAACACCGTAACACCATAACAGTAACTCTTCTAAATTCCTAATATAATAACATTTATAAGCAATCTTTTGAATGTTTGTTTTAATTTATTATGGCCACAAATAACAGCATGTACAAGCTTGTTTTATGAGTCATAAATTAGGTTCAGGTCAGAAATAATTGCTGCTTCGTAAAATGTAAGAACAATTGTATTAATGGTGTTCTTTGCAGACAGATTTAAGTGTTTCTCACTGTACTGCATTTTGTTTCCAAGTGTATCAGGTATTCAAACATATACTGAGGGTCTTGTGAGATGAAGCTATTGCACGACTACAGCGACAGTGTAATTCATAATGATGTTGATCCACACAGACACGGGCTCTGACCTGTCACCAGGGCCTGAGCCTGAATGCCTATGGCCTCAGTGTCGTGGAGGATCATGGCGCAGCAGATGTACAGTATGCGATGCACTTACTGGCCTGTTGATGCTATTGGGTAATCGGCAGCCGGTCAGAGACGTCCAAGAAAAACAGGCCGACTGCAGACTTAGTATAAACCACGAGGAACAACATACACACACACACACACACTCTCACTCACACCTGCACAACAACATGTGATCCAAGTCAACACACCCCACTGGCGTACAAAAAGGACAACGCTATGGACTGCAACTCTTATGAAATGAAGCTAATTCAGATTTACTCATGGAAGCACAAACACAAGTCAATGCACAATGTCATTGAAAGAGGATGAGACAGAGGTTTTTTCCCCAAAGCCTGTTAAACCAGGCCAAAATCTCATTTTGTTTTGAAAAATGTTTAGAACATCTGCTACAAAAGAATTCCACTGCATATAATGCAATGCAAATGGATGGATGGATGGATAATGTGTAAGTGACAATAATAGTTAACTATTATTAACTAAACATTAGAATTAATAACATTTTAAAATTCATCATATTGGTGAATTTTAATCCATTTCTCCAGTTGTGGAGACAGAACATCAGCCAAAAGAGTCAGCAGTTTCCCAAACATGGATGCATGCCACAAATATATAACTACTTCAAAACATAGAAAGTCTCTGTATTTTTCAGAATGGAACACACACAAAATAGTTGCTTACTGTGATTGCTGAAATCCTGTGTCCAGTGTGGCTGTACCTCCTCAAACGGCTCCTATACTCCTTGTATATGCCCCCCTCCCTCCTCCTCCCCTGGTCCCTTCTATATTTTGAAACTAAAACACACCATTGACTTGCGTAACAAGGCATTCCTTGTCCAAAGCCACCAAACCTCACCTGGACAGACGGCAGCGTGTGCATGTGTGAATGTGCCAGGTTAAAATTACTGCAGCTGCAGCCTCTGTGGATGCTTCCCTTAGAGTGCACACTTATTTATGGGCTGGTATGTATTAAACTGGTACTCGAATAATGCATGTGCTACTAAAGGTAAAGCACTCATCACAGAGAATAGAGCAAAAGATCCATTTAACAAAATCTGACCAATGTGTGCTGTGAGCATGTTCATAACAGAGCAATGATTATATGGATTTCTCTTCACTCCGCCACAGCCATAATGGAATCACATGAAACCCTTCAGATGACATTGACCAACATCTTTATTAGCATCATTATTAGTATGCTGGTTTGTTGGGCTTTGAAAAGTGCATGTGCCTCATGCACTGCCGCTGGATCATATTGCACTAGAGGTGTGGTGCACCAGAGGGTCACTTTGCAGAGTGCCCCCCAGAGGCCAGGTTTAGAAAGGCAGCAAAGAAAAGCCAGTACCATCAAAGGTCTAATCAGTCCAGGTGTTTGAAAGAAATGCTAAACATTATATAGAGAAGTAAAAGATGGTGGTTATTGATTTAAAGTAAACCATGTTGCTGGTGTTGGATATCCTTCTCTGCAAGTGCTGCATTGGGTTGTAGTGATAATTCATGGTATCATCATTGGAACTGGCACCCCAAATAAAAAACTCATGTGAAGCTGATTTTGCTTTCTGATTGGAAACTTGAGAAATGTTACATAAACAATATATCAACAATGAAAAAGCTCCCATTTGCTCTCTCTCTTTTCTGTGAACTACAACGTTTCTGCCTCAGTCACTGATGAAGTTTGTACGTGAGCACGACGTGAGCGTACACGACGTGAGCGTACACGACGTGAGCGTACACGGCGTGAGCGTACACGACGTGAGCGTACACGACGTAAGCGTACACGACGTGAGCGTACACGACGTGAGCGTACACGACGTGAGCGTACACGACGTGAGCGTACACGGCGTGAGCGTACACGACGTGAGCGTACACGACGTGAGCGTACACGTACACGACGTGAGCGTACACGACGTGAGCGTACACGCGTGAGCGTACACGACGTGAGCGTACACGACGTGAGCGTACACGACGTGAGCGTACACGACGTGAGCGTACACGACGTGAGCGTACACGGCGTGAGCGTACACGACGTGAGCGTACACGGCGTGAGCGTACACGGCGTGAGCGTACACGAGCGTACACGACGTGAGCGTACACGACGTGAGCGTACACGACGTGAGCGTACACGACGTGAGCGTACACGGCGTGAGCGTACACGGCGTGAGCGTACACGGCGTGAGCGTACACGAGCGTACACGACGTGAGCGTACACGACGTGAGCATCCACGGCGTGAGACATTTTCTGATCAAAATGTCAAAGGGGATTTGTTCTTAATTACAAAAACAATGGACATGATGGCCACCCTAAGTATATTTACATTGTATATGTAGGTTCTCTAGCTGATTATCCAATCAGAAAGCAGAATCAGCATCACCAGTCTCATTTGGGTTGCCAGTCATTGGTGAAATCCAGCTGGTAAGGTCACTTAACACTAATCCAAGCTGGTAGAGTAGCTACTGTACGTGTGTGTATGCCCAACATGCAGGAAAGACATGGCAACGGAAATTTAACTATAGATTTTATTTGTAACGTTAGAATAACAGTACCACCAAAAACTGCTCAGTAAGACAATTATACAGTACAGCCCGACCGGGAAAAACAACTTCTGTAAGATTAATTGCATTGTAATAGATTTTTTGTTATTTTAGCCCAGTTTATGAAATGTACTGAAAATCTAACTTTTCCTCTAGGACTTTTGCCCAGTTTAATCTAACTGTGAAGCTACTCTTTTCACAGTTTCAAAATCAACTATATCAATCACAAAGGACGTAGTTCACAAACGTTATGCTCATTGTTCAATAAACCTTTCAGGACAAAAACAAAGAGGTTTGGTGTCAACAAGAATATAATCCTCATCAGCATTGGTGTAACACTGTCCACAGTCACCTCCAAACCTTGTGATTGTGTTGCTCCCGGGAACCATGTGATGTGGCCCAGGCCGGTGTGTGCGACAGCAGAGCAGATATTGTCCTCTCACCATCAACACTTGTGCAGCACTTGGCAGCGGCCCCGTCCCCCTCTCAGCGCCCTCTTCTCTCCCGCACACACAGGCCTATTGCCTCCGCTTTTGTTTTTGCTCAGTCTCACACCAGTTCTAATGGACATTTGATTGTCTACTGTCCCTGGCCTGTCAAAGCAGGCATATTTTGTAGTTGAGAATGCCCATTAAATGATTTGTAGAAGTTGCTACTGAACTTGTTTTTGGTGACTTTTATATTCTATTCTCATGAGGAAAACACCACATTTTAACACCATTGATTATATGTACAGTATTTAGAATATATGAAGTTAATTGATTTTAACTATTTTTTTAAACTCACATAGGTCTTGTGTCTGCATAGGTTTCCTCTGGGTGCCCCGGTTTACGCTACCACTGAAAACATGTACAATAGGTAAATACTGCAGCTCTGGTCCTGGTCAAGCCGACCATCAACATCTGGAGATGGGTCCCCAGGCGCGGGACTGCAGAGACCAGAGCTCCTGACTGGAGCCCTCGAGGCAGTGAAGGGTCAAATGCAGAGACACTAGGGCTGGGCAATATAAACAGTATAAGCGGTATGCAATAAAAGTTTGGCCAACGATAGAGATTTTTGTTATACCGGTGTTCTGTCGAGTTGGTCTGCCCGTCGAGATGATCTCCCTCAGCTGTTAATGACGTAATGCAAACCTGCGCTGCGCGTCTCACGGCAGCCAAAGCAAACCAAGATGGCGGACATGTAGTCCGCGAATTGCTTTAAAAGTTGAAATACGAACGAATTAAGACATGAATGTCACTTTTAATGCAATTTGAGGCGAGATGTTGATGGTTCCGCGTTGTGAAATGTGGGTTTTAAGAGTAAGAGTTTCGTGTAAAGTTTGTTTTAAGCAGTCCACTGATCCTGTGAAACTACACTGCTAGTGTGCCCAAATCTGACTTGCGCATGCGCAGCAACCCGCCAGAATGGGGAAAAAACTCGATCTAATTAAATATTTAGTTTGAACAAACTATAGTTAATCATATTGAATACAGTATGATACATGCATTACATTTAATTTATTATTTCCATTATCAACCGGATAAGATCAGTCACATGACGCGTCATGGGCCTGACGTATGCAGCAGTCAACTCAGGGACTGCGATCACACAGCAGCAGTGTAGTTTCACAGGAGCAGTGGACTGCTTAAAACCAACTTTACACAAAACTCTTACTCTTAAAACACACATATCACACGCGGAACCATCAACATCTCGCCTCAAATTGCATTAAAAGTGACATTCGTGTCTTAATTCGTTCGTATTTAACTTTTAAAGCAATTCGCGGACTCCATGTCCGCCATCTTGAATTGCTTTGGCTGCCGTGAGACGCGCAGCGCAGGTTTGCATTACATCATTAACAGCTGAGGCAGACCAACTCGACGGGCAGACCAACTCGACAGAACAACGGCATATTGCGATAGGTCATTATGTCATCAAATTGCACGGGGCCCAACGGAGTCCCTCCTCCAAGCTAGGTATTCTGTCCGGCCCTGGTGGGACTTGAGGTTAACCCGGCGCCGATTTGCTAAAGCTAGCGCAGACTCTGACGCCAGGAGAAAGCACCGAAACAACTGGCCTTAGCCTGCAGCATTAGCCTGCAGCATTAGCCTGCAGCATTAGCCTGCAGCATTAGCCCAGCTAGCGTGGGCTGCAGCATCATCACGAAAAAAGATTGGTAAAGATTTGGACTTCCGCGGTCAATAGCATCAAAGTTACTTTGTTAAGTAACTGTGCCAAAATGATCACATTTACATCGATTGTTCAAATCCAATGTGCTGTTTTAATGCAGAGAAATCCATTGCTGCAAGCGCCGAGAAAAGCACTTAGGGAGCGTCAACAAATGTCAAGACCAGCTTTGTAAACGAACAATAGCTTTTATGTGGTGCTATGTACGCACACAAAACTCTCAGACACTATACATTGTGACCAAATCTAACTGCTACAGACTTTGTTTTCAACATTTGTGAGTTTTTTATATTTTAAATGAATACATATGTTTTTATTTTTTTAAATAGCTTTTACAGTGAATGGTATTTACTGTAACATACATAAATAATGTATGTTACAGCATTTTTCTCAAGAGTTCAACCTGTTTATTTAATTTCATTTTTGACTGAGGATTTTTATTTTTTATTTTGTATGTAGTCAATAAATAAAGTTCTAAAAACTGATTATGAAATTCCATGATTCCTGTGTAGATTGAAATTAGGACTAAAAAGTGCTCAACCGGATCCATCCAAATGGTGTCCATTATTTTTCTGTTCTCAAGTTGGCAACCCTACTCACTAACCACATGGTCTTCAGTTCAATCTGCATTTCAAAAGCACGGTGTCTCTTTTATATGGAATAATATTATATGGTAAAAATGTATTAAATACTGGATGAAATACTGGTGATTTTGTTTGTGGAGACTGGACACACCTGATTTTAAAACAAAAAATATGTATATTAAATTCTAATATATAAGTAACAATGTTGACTATTTTATGCAAGAACCTGCTAGACCCATTGATATTCACATTCCAAATTATACCGCAATATATACCGCCTACCGTCTGTGTCCCAAAGTATACCGCAATATGAAGTTTAGGCCATATCTCCCACCCCTAAGAGACACATGTCACCACAGACACCGTAAAGTATGATAAAGAAGGATTTAAATATGATGAAAATCGGTTTTATTGTCATTATACAGAGAACTGTATAGTGACTAACTATGAACTACTACTAACTCTATGAAGTTTACTTGAGCTTTGTTTTGGTCAATTATATGAAAATTCACTGACCAACGACTAATCAATTAATCGAAAGAATAATCGTCCAACTAATCGATTACCAAAATGATGGATAATTACAGGCCTAATATAGTGCCATTCCGTTTCCGTCAAACTGTGATTGCTTCAGTTTGCAGAACACATTTTCTCAACTAAGGATTCCAGGCAGAAACAAAAAAATGTGAAAGGACACTGAAATATTGATTGAATTGAAATTGTATCGAGTTCTGGCATCGCTGTCTCAGTTTGGAAGAAGCCCCAGAGCTGCTTGCACTGACTATGGGCTTGGCTCGGTGAAGAACAGTTATATTATATACAACTTTGTGAAGCGTCTTGTGTTTCCACTGAGCTGTCTGCAGCGGCATCTCTAATGTAAACAGCCTGATCACCCTGTGGGCTACATATTAAACATTATATAAACTATTATCAACCTTGTTTACAGACGTTGACTGTGCCACATAAACGGGCCGAGGTGGAAGAAATGAGTAACCATAACTGTTATTAAAGGAACACTGTAACTCCGTCCACTTCAATCTTTTTTTAGTCATGCTACAGATTCGGTTACATACATTCTACCCACAAAACGAATAGCAAATACATTGCTCTGCTGTCTCAGGCTTTGTGTTTGGGAATTATGAATATGAATTCATAATCATAATTGCACATGACAGTGGTAAGAGCACACAGGGAGCACACAAAGACATAAGTAGCTGCAATGTTTCTTAGCTATAGCAGTAAATGCTTCAATATCAATATATTGATATATATCTATCTATAGTGTAAAGTTGTATACATATAGGTAGATAAAGTGACATTCAGTGGACATTCTTAAATTGCACATTATCCAGAATTGACTATTTACAGATGAAGGACAAGTACAGGCTCAGCAGTTCTCATTGTACAGTCTGACAGCAGCAGGAAGGAAAGACCTATGGAACCTCTCCTTCACACAGCGAGGGTGAATGATACTTGACTGATAATGGCCTAAGTACAGTGTCGCAAACTGTAGCATATATTGAGTGACAAACGTCTTGAAATACATCTTCCTGTCAGAAGGCTCATCTTTGCACCTGTCAGTCCAAGGATTACTGTTTTAAACATCCTAAAGAACCTCATTTTGAAACAACATTGTGCTTACTAAAAAAAACATAGTTCCTCACACTCAAAACATTTGCTACAGTCATTGGTTTTCACATGCATGCATTTTTTGGCCTCTGTCACATCTTTGGGTGAACTTTTAGGGAGAAAAAGTGAAAAACAGAGGAGCACACTTGCTCAGCCAATCAGCTTTCAGCTCAAAGTGTCAAACTCACAGAGCTAAGATTGCAAAAGATATAATATGTTCCAATAAGAAATGTTGACGTCTGAATTCTCAAACAATGTACTTTTGGGACAATACTGGGACAATCAAAATGTACTTTTTTTATATATATATATAAATATAGCCCACATTTTAATTAGCATTAGGGCTTCCAGGTGGAGACACTTTGCAGCGCACATTACAGACCAGATGGAATTTAAAAAAAAACACAAACATTGCAAACAGCTGAGAATATCAGCGAAAAAGTCACAGCTGAAGTATAAAACTGGAGCATAATAAACTTGAGTCCTGACAAGAACCAGGAAGTATGATTGCTTTAGTCCAGTCCTCAGGTCTCTGCACTGGCTTCCTGTGGCTCAAAGAATAGACTTTAAAACAGCTCTGCTTGTCACAAGTCTCTCCATGGCCTTGCACCAAAGTTCAACTGTGACATGTTAGTGCCATGTGAACCAACTCGGACTATTGCTAGAGCACAGGGACTGGCCTCATGCTGGGACTCTGAGGAGCACAGGGACTGGCCTCCTGCTGGGACTCTGAGGAGCACAGGGACTGGCCTCCTACTGGGACTCTGAGGAGCACAGGGACTGGCCTTCTGCTGGGACTCTGAGGAGCACAGGGACTGGACTCCTGCTGGGACTCTGAGGAGCACAGGGACTGGCCTTCTGCTGGGACTCTGAGGAGCACAGGGACTGGCCTTCTGCTGGGACTCTGAGGAGCACAGGGACTGGCCTCTTGCTGGTACCCATATAGTCAGGACTAAAAATGGGGAAGCAGCATGTCAGATTTATGCAGCTAAAGTCTGAACAGTCGTGAGAACAGTCATCATAAATGTAGGACAGGATTCAACTCTGCCAATGTCCAAATGCAGTTTAAAAACAGTTCTGTATAGCTGGGCATACAACTGAAGGATTTTATGTGATTATTTGTGATATCTATACATTTTATTATTTCATGAAGCACTTTGAGTTGCCTTTTGTATGAACTGTGCTACACAAATAACCTTCCCTTGCCTAAAACTATAATTACACTAAGGAAAAAAATGTCAAGAATAAAATGCTTCGTTCCCAACACTGCACCCTCCACTGGCAGTCTGCTAATCATGGCTCAGTCTGTTATCTTTTAGTTCAAATAGCAAACTGTTTTGACAACGCTACATTTTGTCACTCTATAACAGCCGTGGATAGAAGTGTGTGGGCTGCGTGCATTAAACAATCCAGTCACTTATCATTTGAAGGTTATAATAAGCAGTGTGAGATAGCAGGTTGCAAGTGTCTCAATGGAAATGCATGTGCGTCAATGAGAGAATATGGGCCGTCTTCTGTCCCTCAGATAGATCCAAACTTGTCTCTGAGTTGTGCCCTGCTCCATTATATTGACACTACCGGGTCATTTTTTATAAATTAACCAATCATTAATCAGCTTGTTTTCAGTCCACTAATACTTTCTTTGGTCTAATAATAGCCGTAGTGTGACCATGTTAAAATAAATCTCATCAAAACGTCCTCTATTGTACGGGAGGGAGTCTGGGGAACTAAACTACAAGAATGCATGTGTGCAAGTTCAAGCTATGACATACGAACTACTCTCTGAAATATTGTTGCTTTCCTGTGCTATTTATGGCTGTAAAGAATCGTGTTTGACCCAAAACGCAGCAAAGGCCTTTTCTCCTCCTCTCTTATGGGGCTGGGCAGAACAATATTGCCAAACAGCAGAAGGTCGATAGGCCTAAGTAATGATGTATAATATAATCATAATGTAAAACAAACTCAATAGAAAACGTTCACTATGAAAATCTGTCCAATAAAACCAGCAGGCCAATGTCACAGAGCTACAATCAGGTACACTATAACTGCTTGGAGCTCAATGAACATAACTGTGATACAAGATATAAAAAAGCTTTTGACTTTTGAAAGAACAATGAATCTTAATTAAGCTATTTGCAAATCATCCATTCATCAATTCATCACTCTATCTTATTTCATCTTCACAAACTTATTATTGTGTTGAATTTCAATCCCTCAATGGCTCTGAATAGCTGATGCGGTGTGCAGCAAGCTCATTGATGAATGCTGTTGATATAGGCCTATTCTATTTCGTGAGCTCTGTCCCACACTGCCAGTGCTATGACACCAGCACAGCCAGCACCAATAGCAAGTTTATTGCAAAACCCAACACAACATATGAGTATTCTTTTATCACCACAAGATCCATTATGCTGATGACCAAATCAGTATTCTGACGCTTTGAAGTCCAAATGTGACCAACACTAAATAGCATTGGTGTGGCTTGCACCGCTGGCCTACTTAAAATGGTTGAAACCATAATAAAGCTTGTTATGGACCGTAATCCGTGGTGATCCATTGTGACGGGAGAAACGACCTGCTAAATGCCATCACATAAGCAGAAGGAGGCTACTACACAGAGAAGGCACAAGGACAGGCGAGAGCAGCGCGGATGTCCCGCGCAGGATGCGTCTTACCTGGTCCCGCGGAATGCACGGCAGCGAAGTCCTGCGGTGGGACTTGCTGTTGCTCTGACTGTGAGCGATCATCTCCGAGGCCGTTATGGAGCTGGACCTCCGTCTCCGCTTGAAGACAGGGATGTCCTCCTCCTTCGCCTCGGTCACAGAGCCACAGCACCCCGTCCCGCTGGTCCCTGAGGCCGGCAGGAGCCGGTCAGCATACCGTGCAAGCAGAACCCCCAGCAGCCCCAGCAGATAGGCCAGGTAGGGTCTCCAGCTGGCCCGCGCACTGCTCAGTGACACCACGCACACGGTCCGGATCACGCTGATGAACACAAGGACGGACACTCCCTGGTCCAAGCCCACGACCAGCAGAGCCCTGCTGCCCAGGCAGCCGAGGACCACCAGGGTGGCGGGAGGCGCACGGACTGTGCAGCGAGGAGGCGCAGGGCGGTACGGACTAGGACCCCGCAGCGAAGGAGACACCGTCCGAGCCAAAAGAAGGCACATACAAGAGTGAGCAGAGGAGAGAGTCACCAGCCCCTTACTGCACAGCCCGCCGCCAAATGAGCAGGAGAGTTTGAGCCGCTGCTATTTCCGCTGCTGCTGTTGTCTGCATCCCAGTCGACCAATGTGAGCAGCAGAGCGAGAGGAGAGGAGACAGAGGCAACGCAGAGCGCAGACGACACTCCCCAGCAAGTCCATGCCACTGCGAGTCTGAGCGAGGACTGGCCGTGTGCGTCCTGCAGCGCGCTGACCACGTCTGTACGTAACCACTGCGTCCCAACACCGCACACAACTTTCACGTGCGCCTTTGGATGGAACTCTGTCGGCGTCTGACCCAAACACAGCAACTCATAGAAGTCATAATCTTATGCTCATTGGCTAATGCAGGCACGTTTCTTTGTAGAGCACGTTCCCTCACAATCCAACTGTGTTCATCAAGCACACTGCAGCTCGGGTGCACACGGTCACGCGTCAGATGTGTTTCTGAATGTGAGACAGTTTCACATGCATGGGAGCAATATGTTTGAAATATAAATCACAATAAAAACACTATAGTCTACATGTTCCGAGGCCTCCTACAGTGTTCCTGCAGGCATACCCATTATTTCCAGTTAATCTTGTTCCTGATTGACTTTAAATTCCACCATCTTGACATTCAACTCATAGCCCCAGGATATGCCAAAGTGTGGATTTAACACGATTCGTGTAACTTAAGATAGTCACACTATGTTTGTTTTTTTCCATTGTGAGTATTTCCATTGTGGACATGATGTCTCTGATGATGTGCACGTTTGCATCATAAACCAAATCTGTCCAATTTGACAGATCACATTTATGAGCTTCCTCATTTCAGTTGAGGTACTCCACAGAACAAATTGTTTTGTAGTGGAGTTACACAACAGGGCTCAATGCAATCAGAAAATAAATCTGTTTTACTCATCCAATCTCCAAGGACCTCTGGGCCTTTTGGCGTAGGGTGGCAGAGTGGCTTTACAACCTGCATTCAACTTTTAAACCTGCTTCCATGTTGCACCAAGATACACTCATGTTGTAAATCACATGTTGACATTGGTACACTGATAATAACATTCTTTGAAGTCACATTTGCCCCTGGAGCAGTTGTCCAGACACATCCGTCCCACTGTACACAGAGGAAATTTGTGACAATATAATCTATCATTATGGAGTGTGTAAAAAGGCCATGAGTTGTGTTGACCACACGTGTCACTGCTGTGTACACATGCTCATATACTTCATGTAATATATCTATAGTGACACATGGACTTCCTCTTACTGTTCAGTGAGAAGTCCATGTGTCACTACAGATGTAATCATAAATGTTGATGGCTTCTGCAGTATTTGGAATGGCAAGATAAAAATAAGTCTGAGGTATACAGATGTTGTATACCTCTGTAGTTTGAACGTAATCGGTCAACTTGATTAATTCCTTCAGATAGGATTTATGGAGGATTGAAGAGGCTTTACATAAAGAAGGAATTCTATGTTATTATTATTGTACAGTTATATAATTAGTAATAGTAGTACTAGTGGTAGTAGTAGTACTGATAGTAGTAGTGGTAGTCGTGGTAGTAGTAGTAGGAGTCTCAAATGAAGCACACGAGTAGTAGGAGTAGTGGTAATAGTAGTAGTAGTCGTAGGAGTAGGAGAAGGAGTAGTAGTGGTGGTGGTAAGAAGTAGTAATAGTGTGATTAATACATTTCATTGTAGCCATCAAATGATCTTTGATTTTAAACAAACTGTTTTAATTGTTGTAAATCAATAATACATTTGTTTTACTATACACGTAAGGAGCAGAACATATACAATAATCACTATAATCATGTGATCAATAAACAATGTACACACAGAGTACAGAGCAAGGACAGGCGCGTGCAGCTGAACAACACATTTCTGACTTGAGGGGAATGGAGAGATCTCTATTTTGCCAACCCTTGTGAAACGAGTGAATAAAACATTGCTCCACAGTCTGAGTCTGAGTCCTGGTATGCGCCGCAGATAGCTGACTGATACTACCTCCATTATTCCGCTTTATTTGAATTCCCAAATCAGTATGTTCTCTGAATTGGTTCCACTACACGTTCCCTGAACCTATCACGTCCTGTTCTTCTCGCATGCATCCCACCGGACTGACCCTCTCTCTGTGTGTTTAAGGCACAACATCCAGTCTGCGGGATAACGCACGCTTCGAGATCGGTGCACTCCACAAAGCCAAACTAAGCTGGCCAAACAGACGGTATGACCCGTGTTGACTGTGTGAGTGGTACGAGGCGCTGCGGGGCACGAGATGTGAAATGAGCTGTTCTTTTGATAATACCAGAGAGCGATGTAGAGCAAGAGCAATAAAGCTATGAATATTTAACAGTCCACAGCCTTATGTTGTGACAAGATGAGAATACTGATGATATTGGCGTGATATTGTTGTATAGACTGGACTGACATGGGTCTAAGTGAACATGTAAGCTGCTCACATATGGATGGATGGATCATTATGAAGGTGCAGGCTCTAGAACTATATCACATGATCTTTGTTTGTGTGTTTCCATAGTCAAAATGAATTATGCTGCATTAATTGTTGTCATATCTCCAGGGAGCTGGCTGCACATCACGTCGCAAAATGTATCTGGTAGAACAAATGGCCTTGTCTTAAATTGTCCAGTGCAACATAATAGAGCTGCAGGTGAACTTTACAGCCACACCTCTTGCAAACGTCTTTATGGTATGTGGATTATGGTTGTAATCTCAAAAATCGGATACTGTACCAACGCAGTGGTGGCTGGTCCCCATTTCCAGATGGTGATGTTTTGCCTCGGGTCAGGACTACCAGAGTTGGAGGATTTTACTTTTGATGCATGTTTTGAGTGGTGGAGATGGAACCTGTGAGGGGTGGGTCCTGGCTCCAAAAGGTCCATGAGCACGTGCACTGACATACTTGCAATCTCACCGGGCCGGTGGGGCTGGACCCCAAAATAAGAATTACCCAATGTTTTTGTATGGCGTATGTAAAACTTGTTGTAAATGAATGGGACTAGTGCGCCGGCTGACGCACGCATTGCCCATTAGTATCAACAGCGGACATAGGCGTGACTATGTCCGTTAATATTTACAGTCTATGGACGGAATATAAATGTCTTTATATTACACTAAACACTTCCAATATCAAATACTGTGTGTGTTAGTTGAAACTAAAAAACTCTACACTATAGGAACACATACTTCCTGGGGCACAGCACAGGTTTGTAACTTTGTAACACTAGTGGGGAAACTGTCTTAATTTAGGCTGGTGTGCTTGTAAAACACACCTGTGACTGGAGCTGGGCCAGCCTGGTCGCACCACACCGTCGTACAAATCACATACAGGGAAATGATAATTGACCGGGGTTTACGGATGGCTAAGGCCAGGCTAGTGCTGGCCTGAAGCTTCACCCTTTTCACTACAACATTCTAGTATTGTATTATATACTCATACTGGTATTGAAGTCAAGTGTTATTTTGTGTCATGCATTTTGATGTGAAGGGACAGACTGTGCACTGTGTATTTCCGGGTAGAGCTCTGACCTCACATGTACACTGTGCGCCTGAATGCGACACAAGCAAAAGTGTCCCTGTATGAACCCTCAGAGAAGATCTGCAGTGAAAACCAAAACCACTGACCCCCACACTCTCCTCTGCCACCACTCACTCCCTCATCCTCCCTCATCCTCCCTCAGCCTCCCTCAGCCTCCCTCAGCCTCCCTCATCCTCCCTCATCCTCCCTCAGCCTCCCTCAGCCTCCCTCAGCCTCCCTCAGCCTCCCTCATCCTCCCTCAGCCTCCCTCAGCCTCCCTCAGCCTCCCTCAGCCTCACTCAGCCTCCCTCAGCCTGCCTCATCCTCCCTCAGCCTCCCTCAGCCTCCCTCATCCTCCCTCATCCTCCCTCAGCCTCCCTCAGCCTCCCTCAGCCTCCCTCAGCCTCCCTCAGCCTCCCTCATCCTCCCTCAGCCTCCCTCAGCCTCCCTCAGCCTCCCTCAGCCTCCCTCAGCCTCCCTCATCCTCCCTCATCCTCCCTCATCCTCCCTCAGCCTCCCTCAGCCTCCCTCAGCCTCCCTCAGCCTCACTCAGCCTCCCTCAGCCTCCCTCATCCTCCCTCAGCCTCCCTCAGCCTCCCTCATCCTCCCTCAGCCTCCCTCAGCCTCCCTCATCCTCCCTCATCCTCCCTCAGCCTCCCTCAGCCTCCCTCAGCCTCCCTCAGCCTCCCTCAGCCTCACTCAGCCTCTCTGCTCTGCTCCCACATCCCTGCCACAGACAGATCATCAGACTGCACTAAACAACCAAACTCAGTTCATCTTTTCCCTGTACAAGAGTCACATGTGTATCTCAGTCTGAAGCAGGTGCATGATCAAACATTGAACTTTGATCATTAAAGTGGATCTTATAAGAGAATGATGTGTTTTCCGAAGATGTGGTTTGGGTGAAGTTTGCAGTGGGGGATAATTGGCCATTTTACTCTGTGCTCTTGTAAATGTACAGAATGACGAGATACCCCATACATATCAGACATTTTACAAACTATGAAGTGACTGCTACAGCTGACAAGACAATGGAATCGTACCAAAATACTTCAAGAGAGTAAAATGTATCAAAAATGTAATAATTGTTGATTTGTTAAACTGCTGATAACAAACAGGGCCCTTGATATGATTGATATGGTTTAATACAGCCCACATATAAAGCGCAAACACTATGTGAACTGGGTGCAGCTCTGACTGCAACTCCCCCGACCCAGAAATGGATTAAGGGGAAGAAAATGGATGGATGGATGGACGTGTAATATTGAACAGAGCCAAGCAGGTTAATTGTGAACTAAAAGATATAAGTCTGTTCTCTCTCATTCGCCTCATTCATATCCATTTGCAGACAGTGTTCCCAAACAGAAATAGAATCTATTCCCAGGAGACTGTTGTGGTTCGGATTCTGCAGTCTGTTCTGTATTCACTTCATTTCAAC